ACCCTTTGAATGAATTATTTCTCTATTCTCTTGTGATCCATCATTTTCCACAAGTGTTCTGATCACCTTGTTACACAATTCCCTCTGAATTAACCTTTAATAAATCTCCCAGAAATGCATCATCAGGCACGCGCGCGGTTATTCGCCGTCTTTCTCTTCGCCCCTGGCGCTTTTCTTCTTCTCCAAACCCACCCTATCAATTCACCTTCGCACCCACGACACCTACAAGCAAAGTTTTCATCCATTCCTCCACTCTCGACCTGGCCTGCCTCACACGTGACACGGCAGCATTCGGCCACTTCGGCCAGCACAGTGGCGCAGATGATGTAAGAATAGAGAATCAAGTTATTAAGTCCGTGTTTTATGCAGATGCTACAGTCTACCTGGTCCAAGGAAAAGACAAAACAGACCGAATATAGATGAAGGGATTTTGGGCAAGTATTTGAAGCTTTTAGTGCAACGGCCCCCAGTCAGCCCGGTTAAGCTTTAACCCCTGGTTGTAACAGCTGTAAGCTTAGTACAGCATGCGGCTTAGGCTCGAGGGACATTAGCTGAACGGGAAAACACTTAAATTATGCCCCGGAATGAAAGTGGACTAGCTACGAGAGACCGTCCGTCAATACTACTAGAGGGGTTGCTCCATGTCTCACCCCGTTTCCGCTCGCTTATTGGGTGATCAGCTCTAGAGCAAGGCATCGGAACTGCACGGTTTAACACATGCGATGGGGTTAAAGGAGGGCGGCTGGATTGGGTATAAGGTTCCTGGCACCGGAACCCCAATCTTACTCAACCTTTCCTAGAAGGCAAGATGATTCGTTCTCGTTTGCCATTATTGGAAAGACATAGGATGTGGTCGCGGAAAGCTGGAAGGTCATTTCTCTGGCAGAGAGCAGTCCATGAAGGACAGTTTGTGCAGGGGTCCTCTGGAGACCCTTAATATCCAGTGTGTCGGGGATAGCCAGGGGGGGGGGGTGTGCGCCTCGCTCTCTTCTGACTGGTCCGATGGAGTTCCTCAGGCAGAATAAGCTCTATGGAAGACATCAGCAGCTAGTGCTCACTACTGTGATAAAATTGCCCTATTGGTAGAGCTATCCTGGGGTACGGTACGATGTTGTGGATCCAACCCCTTACAAGGCTATCTTAAGCCTGTAGGGTTGAGATAGGGGGAAAGTAGTGCAGGGATTGAATCTGTTATTTCAATTGCAGTGAGTGTAACTATCTCTTTCACTAGCTGACTGGCAGGGCCCGCTGAATATTGAAAACTGAAAGTATGCCAGAGCTTTACGATCCGGTTTTCAGCCTACACCGGTATCAGCATCATATGACCATACTCCTTCGACTTGCCCTTTTCCCTTAACCGAAGAAGAAAAGGAAAAGTCTGAGATACCTAACTAAAATACCATTTCTAATTCAGATGAAACAGCAGTTAAAATACAGGTACTAGTTCAGGTTGATTGATTACTTGTGTCCCTGGTCTTAGACTGAGGATGAGGTCTAGGGAAAAGTTTCAATCCCAAAGTCACCATCCAACTCTGCATCTATTCTCGCAACCCTCAAGTTTCCAGCCGCAGGCGCAACCTCATCTTTTGGAAAATCGATTTTTGAGTTCGGTTCCCGTTTGAAACATTTGCTGCCTTTCTGAAACTCACTCCCTGCATGCTCGCCCAGCGCCTTAAGCCCATTTGCTAGGCAGGATGGATCATATCCTCGCTCGAGCAGTGTCTTGCCGCTGTTGTCATAGAGGTATGCCACACCAGTCTCAGCAAACAGCTCTCTGTCAGAAGATTTGAAGTAGTCTGATGGCCAGTATGTGTCTAGATCTTTTTGGCCTTTAGAAAAATGCCTCGCTTTTGGAAAGAGTCGCGATCTATGCAATGGCTTGACTCATGCATATACACACTCTCTTTAGCGTCGCCGTAGACTGCAATTATGTTTCACGGGCCCACGCGAAGGCCTCCAGCAGTTTTGTCCTCAAAAGCAATCAGATGGCGGACACGGCTCCGCAGGCCTGCAGGAACTTCGACCGAACTTTTCCACCACGGTGTCCACTGAATGCTGTGCATCATTGTAGCGACAAATTGCCCAGGGGTCTTGATCAAGGCAACCCGAGTAGGTCACATTGAAAACATCAAGACGGTCAGCTGTACAGTAAACTCTTCCGTCACTCCTCTTTCGTTGTGCCAGCGCCCAGAAATAGTCGGGAACACCTTCGGACTTGTCCCATTGAGTAACTTCTGTGGGGTTCGCCCCCGAGATAGGATCGGATCCAAGCTCTCCTAACCCATTTGGGAACAGAATTCCCCTGATGCGTGATTTTGTTTGTTAGCTATTACTGTTCATCTCGAAATTCAAAAGAGACATGAGAAAAACACTCGGTACGGTGCGTACGTACTTATGCCTTATGAGCTTTGGTGCTACCTTGTTTGGGCACCCAGTCTTTGCATCCCATAGTCTGTTCAGGATGGGTTGAAGAAGGTTGAGCTGATTCCTCATACAGCTTGCGCCTAATGGAGGTTAGGCGTTAATTTTCAAATATACTACAACCGTCAAAACCGCTCTCGATAGCCCGTCCATATGTACCGTCGCGCCTCTCAAGTTCTTTTGCAGCCGGCTCATCAGCTACACAGGTATCGGCAGCAACAGCATTTATAAATTCATCCATTGGGATTCCAGGGTAGCCGTGGAACATCACTACTACCAGCATTTTGATAGCATCTACTTGTCGAAATGAGCTACCGAAAAGGGCAGAATTCCCCTTGAAATGTTGAACAACAAGGCCTTGGTCGAATGCTGCGACAAGAAGATCAGAGATCGTAGCCCGATCACCTGATGGGAGGCGGGCGAGCAGGTTCATGGAGGCTTCTCTGTCCCTTTCCGCACTGGCACAGTGACCTACAAGCCAGGGTTCAGGAGTCAGGACACTATATCCTCTCTCGCATTAGATAACGCCGGCTTCGTGTGTGTCTTCCCCCGCGAACCCAACAAATTCTTGGGGCAAAAGGAATCATGGAAGAATTAGGGGGGGCCCGGTGGAGGGGGTAAGACTGGTTTCTCACATCATCGAAGGTAGCGTTATAGATACTAAAATTTATCTCCGCAATAGAATCGGCTCTCTGGCTCATAAACACTGCCGCCCCAACGCAACGTCCGATGGCATTCCTCGGCGATGAACTGCAGAAAAAAGGAAGAGAAGCAGAGTTAGCGCAAAAGCAATAGATCATAACAAGGAAGAGGAGAAATATTTACTATCTTCTTCAGGCCATTTTTCTAAGCTGTACCTTTGCGGGGCAGGTAGAGCAGCAGCGATTTCTGCATTGAAATCTCGAACCACTTTCACAAGCGGATCTTTGATAATCTGGGCGCCTGCCAATCCAAGCAATATAAATTGCTACAGCACCGTGACCACCCCCATTTTGGCTACGATCTTTTTCCTACTCTTTCCCCGGCTGGCTATGCAAAAGTATATGATAAATAGGCACCCCCAATGAATCTCAAGATTTCGAAAGTGGAATGAGAGAGTGAGTGCAGAGATCGACACAGGGCAGGAGGCAAGATTAGAGAGCGGGCTCAGCTGAATATAAATGCTCTTTGCAAAGGGCCTGGGTGCAATGATGAGCTGACTTGTTGCTAGCCATCGTGCAAGATTGCAAACGGCTGTAATGATCAGGGGGTTCAGCCTCTCTATTATTAGACATTGGGAGATAGTTGTAGCCATGGTAGTTGACTCCACAAGGTGTTGATTTTAAATGAGTTAAGAGAACAACGATGTCACTCTCCTGAAACTCTCCTGAAGACTTCAAAGATTACCATATCAGACCGACGGGTCGTTGAATCTGTAGAAAACTGGGGATATGCTTCTTCAGCGCGCTGACTTGCCTTGTAATTGAAGACTCTCAGTATAACTAAGATATATTCAGAACTTATATACATCTGTATATACTAGTAATATAGACAATGAAAATGTCAGAATGATAGCTGTGATGAATCTGATGATAGTACAGAGTAGTAGATTCTTCAGAAACAAGGTAAAATTTATATAGCAAAGTTGATTTATTTTTTTAAGTTGATGATGATAATTTAATGCATAATAATTAGTAGAAGTTATAGTTTTATAGAGTTATCATTCATCTCTATTTTTCTCACATATTTATCTCGAAATAATACTATTTCTATATTCTTTCTGTGTTTCGTTTGTTGCACGGCACTGTAAGAATGCAAAAGAGACTAAAAGTAAGAGAGAAGTAATTTATATAGCTAGCCAGTTGAGCTTGGAAATACATATAAAAAGAAGGCAAAGAAAATACAATGGATATCTGATATCTTGATGGTATTGACTGAAACTGGCATTCACACGTTCGCAATATCGCATGGAATTCTGTCCCACAAAAAAAGGAAAAAAGAAAGAAAAAAGAATTTCAGACAATCTTAACAAAAGGTTACAATAATGATCAAGTCAATACCCGTATCGTATCATAATTGCCATTTGGAATTGCAATTGCACTGCAATGGTATATTTATGAAGTAAGAAACAAACCATAACAGACACGCACGCTGGGATGGATATAAGCTAAGATCTATTGCTACAAATCAACAGTTTGCATGTACGGAGCTTCGCTCGACTTCCTAAGTTCCAAATGATGACTCCACACCGCCCACAGATAGTGTTTTATCATCCTCTTTCTTGTTGCTCAATTTGTTGAAATTTCGTTTTCATTGTTGGTTGGTAACGTTGAAGGGGTGGGGGGTGGGATGTAGGGTGCAAAGGCGACTTTTTCTTTCGCGAGCTTCTGGGTGAATGGAAGCACGGTTTCTGTTCGTTTTCGGTAATTGATTTGATTTTTATTTGATTTGATTTCTATTATTATGTTTTCGGATCCGAAGGGGATAGATGAATGGCGCGGGGGCTAACACCATCGGCGTAGGTATCGGGCGAGAGGAGTTCTACTTTTGTTCAATCCCGACCCCGACTACGATTGTTGTTGTTGTAATTGCGTCGCTTTTTACCGGGTGAGAATGTTCAGGTAATCGAGGACGATAAGGGTCACCATACTGGAGATTTAATGTTAGCGTGGGGTCACCGGGCGGAGACGCAAGGTTTAAAGACGGAGTGGGGCGGGTTTCTTCCTCTAGCCTCTTTTTTTTTTTTTTTTTTTTTTTTTTGAAGAAAGAGGAATGAAAAAAAAGAAAGAAAGAAAGAAAGAAAGAAAGAAAGAAACAGATTCCAAAAAGTTAAACAGGGGGAAAACTTACGCGTGCGGTGCGATTCGAACGTAATACGTTCCAAACCCGCGATAGAATCTCAACCAGCCCTCATCCCTAATGACCTTCTTTGCACAATCGAGGACACCCTTGTAGGGAAGCTGGCCCGTCTTTGGGTCCTTCTGCTGTTTTTGCAATCGCGTCTTGATAAAATCAAAGGGGAGGGACATGAAACTGGCAAAGAACCCCGCGATGGCGGAGGCGGCGAAAGTTCGGTTCTGAGCCGATAAGTTCGTGTGTGCCTGCAGCTGCGACTTGGACTCGGCGAAGAAAGTCAATTGCCCAAAGTTCAGAGCCATAGCGCGCACCACGGTGGGTAAGGCCCCGGCCCAGAGGGCAGTGATACCCTCCGCCTTGGAAATGCGGGCTAGAGCGTCAATGACGGAGCGGTAGTTTGCTCTGCTTTCCTTTGGTTTGAGGCCGTCCGACTGCATACGGATTAGGGCTAGGTCAGCGGGGTTCCCGATCATGGCCGCCAGGCCACCAGCTCCCAATCCCCGCTGCGGCGCGTTCGGCAAAGGTGACTTTCTTCCCCGCGGCGTCGGCGCGGGCTTTCAGGGAGTTCGCAAAAGTGTCGAAAAATCCCAGGCGGGCGGTGGTGTAGACGGCCTGTCGAAGCAAGCCGGCCGATAAACCTGTGTATAGGTCTAGGAATTTGCCTGAAGCTATGATCTGTTTTGTGATGCCTAGCGCTGTAGGACGGGGTCCTGTCCGGGCACCTTCGCCGGCGAGCTGCAGGCGCACCTTTACCATGTCAATTGGCTGGATGACAGCCGTTGCCGTCATACCGGATAAGCCGCCATTGATGAAGGGTAAGGCGGGGCGGATGTAAGGGTTATGGAAGAGGGGGGTGGATTGTTGAGAGGCATCACTGGCCGGCTTGGGAGAGGAAACAACCATGGCTGGCGGAGGGGATGAGATGCGCGTATATATATATATATATATATATAAAGAGAGAGAGAGAGAGAGAGAGAGAGAGAGAGAGAGAGAGAGAGAGAGAGAGGGGGGAAGGGTTGGTCTGCTCCTTTATCTACCCTTCTTATATATGGAGAAGCAGTCAGTCAGCGTCAAGGAGGGGTATTGGTACCGCGATAGGGGAGCTTCTCCGAATGCCGCTACCCAAGCAGTGCTGGTGAGAATGACAGCAAGATGGACAGCCAGATGGACAGACGGGTAGAAGCACTGGGTTTGGATATGGGGATATGGTAGGTAACTCACGGTAGGGGAGGTTGCTCTCCGCACTGCAGAGAAGAGGAGAGGAGGGGAGGGGAATCGGCGCAGGTGACGGAATCTCCCGACAGGTGACACCCCCCGGCACGGCACAGCACAGCAACGATGAGAGGATGAATGAGGGAGTAGCGAGACTGCTGTATCACATCAGTGGAAGAGTGGTGTATATATATATATATATATATATATATATAATACGCGCGCGAGAGAGAAAGAGATGAGTAGAGATGAAGTTGAGGTTGAAGGAAGGTTGAGGGGAGGAGAAGAGGCAGAGGCAGGCACGAATAGAAGCCGGGGGGAGAGAGACCAAGAGCTAGCTAAAGCTACCCTAACTTACCCTAACTACCAGAGAAGAGAAGAGGAGAGAACAGAGAAGAGAGAGAACAGAGAACAGAGAAGAGAGAGGAAAAAGAGAACCTTATTAGTTACGCTTCTTGATGACAACTTATTAGGGTAACTAGCCCCGGCTTGGAGGCTTGTTTGCTTTTTGTCCACAGCCAGCACAAAACAAGTCGTGTGCGTGTAGTTAGTTATCTCTCCCTGAAACTATCTCATTGTCTTTTTTAATTAAAATAAATCATGGGATAAGACAGCAAGAATCAAGAATGTATCTGTACCCTCTGCAATAAGTACTTCCACAGTACGGAGTACAACAGAGTACAATTCCTCTCAAGCCAACGAACGAACAGGCTGGACCAATGGACACAGTGCGGGGTAAGTTAGTTAACTAACTATAAAAGCAGGCATGATTTTGTACACGGCGCAAATTCCAAGAAACCAGCAAATCATGTAAGTTAACTTATAACAAACTAACTACATCTGTAACTATACATATAGACTGTATACAGATGGTAGTTAACTATTAGCAGGGAGATATATCCGATATCCTGGCTGGCTGGCTGCTTGTAATCTGGGTTATCTCTATCTCTTCTTATTCGTATTCCTTGTTTTGCTTTTCATTACTACATTCGATTAGTCTGTGTTCATTTCTTGAATAAATAAGTTGTAACTTACTTAATGATTAAGTTAACTAATAAGTTACAATGATAGTTATCCTCTAGTTAGAGATGAGGTCCCCACGTCGTCATAAACCAATTATTAACTAGCTCAACCCAATATACATAGCTACAAACCACAGGCTCAAAACGGCCCCATCCTCCTTTGCTCCCATGGATTGTACTAATGTTAAATAGCTCCCTCTCCAGTTGGCTTTCCTTTCTTTACTTGAAACTTAAAAATACTTTGAAGGGCAGGGAAATGCAACGTAACGTAACTAACTAACTTATATATTAACTATTATTATTGCTCAAGGAGAACTAGATTTCAGGCACCGCTGCAGATTCCCCTGGCGATAAACCATGTCCGCTACGCAGCGTATTCAACCAACCCATGCCTACGCAGTAGATAGCAAACCAAACCAAACCAAACCATTCCTCCCCTCCTCCCCCCTCCTCCTCCTCCCTGAGGAAAGGAGAGGTGGGGGTGGAGTCCAGCTTCCCGCGCCTAGCTTGGGCACTCACTGATCCCATCACCACCCCACCCGAACAATCCCCGTGATATTCCCGATCCTTTTCGTCCGAGTCGGGGCCGAGCTTGTATTATCATCATTTTCTGTTGTTTTTTTCTTTTTTCCTTTCCTTTTCTTTTTTTCCTTTTTCTTTTTGCATCAACCTTTCCGTTGGGAAACAAGTTAAGGGGAATTTCGTCTCTTCCCGTGCTACCGCTTTGGATGTTATGTTCCAGGCCCTGACCCCGGCCAGAGAGAGGCCAGAGCACCCGCAGAATCCCTTTGCCATTGCCAATTGGCAATTTAATTGGTTGGGATATGGATGAGAACCAACTTGTTGGAGAGCTTGGGGTTCTTCTTTTCTTGTTCCACTAACTAAGGCGTGCTCTTTTTCTTTTTCTCTTTTCTCTAATTCTCCCCTTTATCTCTCTCTGGTTATCTTAGTTGACATGAATAGTTAAGAAACACACTCACATGTCATTTCCTGTTGATGTTCTGAATAAATAGTTATCTAAGACTGGTTGGTGGTGGTGATGCCGATGGCATTGATCTCATAACTACACTGTGATCACACAAACTCTGTTTGACTCTTTTTCCTTTTTATTTAAGAAAAGAGGGGAAAACCTATTCACAATAAACACTCTTTGCTTTCACTTCAACTGTTGGTATCTCAACAAAAACATCCTCCCTACCCCAGCTCCTTTGATCTCGTCCCAGACACAATGAGCATGCTTCCCTCAGACCCTTTGATCAGCCCCTGAGACGGACCAATATCTGCCACGCATATTTCCCGTGAAGGTTCAATGGACCTAGTCCAGCAAACCCATGGGTATTAATTAACATGGCTGGCCTACAGTGTTCACCATCCCACCAACTCAGCACTCAGCACTCAGCATCCCATCATCATCAAGGTTCATTGTTGGATATCTGGCGTCGAGAAATGTCGCGGTGTTGCAAAAGCCTCCAAAACTCCGCGAGCACACCGTCTCCTGTGGGGCCGTCGACAGCCCTGGATTTCTTTTAGCCTGCCAGACCCCAGCATTGATGTGGGGAGATGGGGCTGTACGCGCTTCTTCTATGACTTCTTCGTCGGAATATGGAATGTGTCCTATTAGACAGAACATTGGGAATTGGGTTGTTTATGTTTTCTCCCTCCCTCCCGCCCTCTCCTGTCCTGTCCTGTCTGTACGGTGGTGGATCGTAACGTATGCTTGGTGGTGGTGTGTGTGCGTGAGAGAGGGAGAGAGGGAGGGAAAGAAAGAGAGAGAGAGAGAGAGAGAGAGAGAGAGAGAGAGAGAGGGAGGGAGATCAACCGCATACCCCATTTCATCGGAAGCCTTTTGTTGTTCTTTGGAGTGCGTAATGGTGTGGTGTGGTCTCCCCCCCCCCTAATGTTGTGTTTCTTCTTTTCCTGGTGCACCCCCGGAATAGAAACTAAGATACAGCTGAAAACGCACAACATAGAGGTCTACACACAATCTAATCACGAATCGAAGCATGACACGAATAAGAAGAGACTCTGGAGGGCTCACCTCCATCACTGGGTAAGATTCTTTACTTGTGAACTTCGCCTCCATCATGATCGGCCAGAGTCAAGGAGGTCTCCATGTTCTCGAGGATCGAGAAACGGATCGACGA